ACTAAGTCAAACCACTTCTACATAAGGTTAACTTAAATTCAATGGAATTCTAATTATTTAATTATAGAAATTCCAACTTTCAGGCCTCATTATTAAAAGCGGCTTAAGGTGGCTATTGGTCTTATATAATGTCAAATTAGATTATATCCTGTTGAAGGGTATTTATTTTTTAAAATAATAACTTCCTTAACTGATTCAACACCATTTATTTTAAGGTTAAGTACTTGTATTAAACACGATTATGACCTCTTCAATGACTGAAAATGTCGTGCTGAATTTTGCATGTTTAAGGAGTCGGTCTTTGTTTATGGCTTTTTCTTTATCAACAAATTCAAGCCCATGCATGACTAAGTTGAATGGTGCGATTGTGGGACTTGACCTGACAATAAATATGGACAATTCTATCTTTATCAAAAAAGATCCGCATATAAAAGGCAATCTTTCTCACAAGAAAAATACATTTGCAAAGTTTTGCTGTAACAATGTGTCTGAAGCCATTTGACTTTGTCAGTGTTCAAATAATATTTTGTCAATATTCTAGGTATGACCAGAGGGCACATGCTCCTATTGTTTAGCCATATTGACTTTGTGCACTCAGACTCTGTAAATCATCACTAAAGATTTGCTGTTTTAGGTGTAACTTAATCACCAACCGAGTTGCTATGCCTTAAATCGATAAGTACTTAACTTAGGTGTCTAAGCTTTCATACGTATTATGCATGTAAGTGTATATGCGTCTTTGCACATTGCTGTTAAAAGCGACTGCTACGAATGTTCTACTTGGAGAGAAGCTCAACATGCCACGTTCCTCATGTACCGGACCAGAGACTTGTTTCTTGACAAATCACGAGAACCCTTATTCTAATTATTGGTTGTCGTTTCTGCGTCAGGCATTCTGTCTCTAATCATGTGCATTGGGAAGTTTTAGTGCTGAGCAGGATTTACTTCTTATATCATGTCCAATGCCCATTAAACTAGGGGCCGACCATACAAAATGGTAAGAGAAAGAATTTGGTGTATAAGCTGTCAGGCTTCGAAATTAATCTTTCGGCTATATTCTCAACACTCAGGGTGTCGTTACTTATTTCAGTATATTTATAATCGTATTTATGATGTTATCAGGCTGACTGTGTCTTCCCCAAAAAATTAGCACTTATTAGTACGGAATTATGTATGTTTGCTTTTAAAAGGCTTTATGCTTAGCAAATGACGTATTCAGGCGTGATCGTAAAATTTAATAGAAAGCTTTTACTCCACAATCTAAGAAGACACTATCGGTTTACAAGTACCTGATGTGTTTGGCTATGCTGTCAGCCCGGTATAATGGTAGAAGCGATAAGGCGATGCGAGTATTTTAGATTAAGAGAGTTTTTAAGTAGTACCAATCTTCATTTGCTATCTAGGCTTGGCTTTGCCATACCTTTTCTACTTTTTGTTATGTTTATTCTTTTATTGTAAGTGTATACCTATTTTTGTGAAATGAACTAAGTCCGAAGTTGCTCTTGTTGAATCATAGCCAGTTAAAACAAGAAAAAGAAGCCGAACAGTCGACGTTGATCTTAGCAAGTCAGCCTCCTCTCGATTTGGGTCTAAAGGCAGGACAGACCATTAAACTGAACCTTAATATGAAACGACTCGGTGATGCCTCTAACAGTGGACCGATTTCATCTACCATCGCACTATCTCGGAGTGCCCCTGGATCTAAGGCTCCGTCACTTCACCTTCCACCTCCGCCACCTCCAGCCAGCTCTCGTTCCTTAGGTGGACGTCCTACCGGCTCGATTGGAACAACTTCTGGATTATTTGATAGCGATTTTGCAAGTGCTGCTGCTGCTGGTAGCCAATTTGATTTGAAGAATGAACTAAATTCTCCTGATTCAATCTGCTTTGGAGCTTCGATTTCAAAATCTCCGTCCAACACGCCCAGTCAAGTCAGCTGTCAAGAGCCTGTCCCGCATGTATCCGCTTCTGTTCCATTTTCTAATCAAGTAAGCCATATTCTACAGAAAGGATACTGAACCAGTTAACTCTTAAATCCTCGAATCAGTGCTCATTAACATCTAAGATATCCATATAATATTCTTATGGGTAAACTATTTATATATGATGATCAAATCGCATAGATTAGGGGAGGCTCTTGTAGCTTCTCTAGTTCCTTGTATAAAATACAACTGTATTGATATGGGGTCAAAGTTCCCCTAATACCATGTATGTACTCTTTGAAGAAAATGTGAGGCTTTTAATCCGAAGCGAAGCTTCGATCTGTTCGTATACATTCTTTTTCCCAAATTCACTGAAAAACAATCTTGCCCCAGTTTTTTCTTAGTCGGGTTGCTCGATTTCTTCGCCCAACTGGTTTGAGAGGTCCAATATTTTGTCCCTTTTTCCTTTATTGTTACATTGGAGCAAAATTAATTTTCTTACAAGTTCCGTCTCATAGTTGGCATGCTGTAATATATATGTGTGTTCCATTCGCCTCTTTAAACAAAATGAAAGGTACTTCAACATGCTATATCTTTTATTTGATTTGAAAGGACTGGTGGAAAGTATTAGTGAAATCGAGGGAGGATTACCTTGGAGTCTTATTGGATTTATTCGAACAAGTAGTCAGCGTAACTTCTTGCTTCCTCGATTAATCCTTGCTGAGCTTTCGTTTATCATGCTACAGACATCATCAGAGCTATAATCGATATATTACAAACATTCAACAAAGCACAGCTAAAAAGATTTGCACTTTTAACATTAGTTTGCGATCTTAATTAATTATCCTATGCTTTGGTTGTCCACTTCATGCTTACCCTGATGATTTCAACTGAGTAAAGTTAGTGCATGAAAAGGATGTGGTTGTGGTTACAAGTTTTTTTTACATAAATAACCTTTTTTTCATAATTTGGTCGGGGTGACAGGGAAATCCTGTAGAACACACTTATCTCTGCGTTCTCTACTATAGTAACCTTGGTGATTTCTTGTATCGGACCGTTGACTTAATACAGTTACAGA